TTCCCTACAGGATAATTTTGTCACTTATTTTTATAACCTTGTTACAAAATAATTCTGCTCTTGTGGGCCAACCATTTCCCAAGCACACAACCCAAGTGTCTGCACTGCAAACAAGGGAATTTTGTTTGGATTAAATATTCCTGGACTATTGCTGAATCCCAGAAGCAGGTATAGGTGCCGCAGCTCCACTACCCTCATCCGCAGGGATTCTTCCTCCCTGGGGAAGCAAACCCAGAGCCGGACATACTTTTGCATTGGTCTGAAAAGGGTCACAAATGTTCATGTGTCACAACACATGGGCAATCAGATCCCTTCATGCTCATTTGCATCCTCTGGAGTTTTGCTGTGCTCTTCACCAGCGCACATTCTCCAAAGCTCAAGGCAAATGACATTTTACAGCTGACCCATAAACAGTTCTTCTATCGGTATATCAATGTAAATATTGATTAAATCAAGAGGTACAGCCTGTTTGACAAAGCTGTTGATAATCTGTAAGAGTAATTCGCTACAAACAATGTGTTCTTGGATACTGGCAAATGTCCTTTCACAGCTATGCTTAGACCAACAGGTCATGTTGGTTTAACCATACATAGTCCAGCCCTTAGAAAATGTTAGCCTTACCGATGTCACATTTGTCTCCAGTCTTCCCAGGTGGACAAAAACACTTCCCAGTCTCTGGATCACAAGGAGCATCTCCGCAGTCACACCGGCGCCGGCACCTCTCTCCAAACCAGCCCCTGTCGCAGCCTGACAGCGAGAGGCTTGTTTAGACGTACAATTGAATGGCAACAGGTACATTAAGCCAGAGTTGTTCCAGGATGTCTCAGCAGAAAGCCCATAAACTCTCCACTGAAGCTAGTGTAAATGCCAAGTTTAATGAAGAATGGAACACAGTGGAACAGGCATAATATTTATATGAATTCTCCTTATTTTGCATTCATCTAATCTAACCTATCAAAGGTATCTGTAAATCTGTCCCAGAAATGTAACTGGCACTTATTTTCATTTTTAATTAGAACTCTCTAGAAGAGCATTCCATAACACTCAACAGGTCTGACATGCACCTATTTAATAATCTTAGAGTTTAGAAGTAAATTTAAAAATCAGTAAAAAGAACTCATATTTAATAAACGACACGTGGAACTCATTGCTGCAAGACATCATGGAGACCAGGACTTTCAACGTATTAATCAGAACCAGATTAGTTAATTTATAAGGAAATGAGAACACCCAGCTATATAACAAGTAAATAATCCCACATTCAGTGTTTCAGGATATCCATAAAGCTCAAAATATAGAAGTTGCTCTCAATAAACAAATATTTGAGTAATGACATGGGGATTTTTGACTTTTGTTTTGTTTGTGTTTTTTTTCTTTTACATCAGAGGGGTGCAAGTACCTTTTTCACAGTGGACGCCTTGATAACCCAGAGGACAAATGCACTGTCCTGTCACCGCATCGCAGCTCGCTCCATTTTTACAGGCACATGCGTGAAGACAGCTTAGCCCATAAAATCCAAGGGGGCACCCTGAAAAATTAAAGAACCAAGTGAGGAAGGTTTATGAAGAAAAACATATGTTCCTTTGAAATCCTCTGTATTCTCAGCTACGTTCCCTGGGAGACAACAAAAATCATGTTTATCATTAACTCTAATAACGCCATGTTTTTTTAAACTTGTACCACCCCAGCATCAGAGATATCCAAGTTACTCATATCTGGAAGCAGCCAAGTGATCTGGGACACCTCAAAAATTTTAACTGAGCCAATGAGGCGTTTATGTGACTACTCTGAAGCCCACATCCCATCACTGTTGGAGAAGGCTGCCCAGGTGCCTGCACTTACTGTGCTCACAGGAGTGGCCGTAGTAACCCTCGGGGCACCGGCAGCAGCCCGTGAACCTGTCGCAGGTGCCGTTGTGCTGGCACAAGCAGTCCAAGCTGCAGCCAGACCCATACTTCCCTGGGAGACATTCTGCTAGCAGGACGTGGACAGAAAAACAGACAAAGAAAAGAAAAATCACTGGCCTCACCCAGAAAAGCTCTTCTGTGATAGCTTGCGTAGCTGAGATACTATGCCCATACAAGAACTTGCAGAGCCGAGGAGAACATTTGTTATGAAGACACAGCATTTCTGCACAACTACAGTGTATATACATACTTTGACGAGACATCTTTTGTATTATATAGATGTTCAAACAGCAATTTCCTTGTACTTTGTATAGCTTACCTTTTTTAAATTTGTCTCTTTATGTACACCACGTCTGGTAAAGCCACATAGAAGATACAATTTATGCCACTTACTATTTTTTTCCTATATCTACAGCAATATTTTCTTTTAGGCACTTAGAAAGTGTGAAAGAAAACATGAAGCTTTTCCTCCTCTGTGTTATCATTGGAGTTCACACTGTTCCAATTCCTAATAAAACCAGGAGGATCTCTTTTTCACACACAGCACCAGACTTTCCATGTATAATGAGATATCTGCTTTTACAGAACCGAACACGTCTCAACTTACAGAAAGCCAAGTCATGCAAAAGTGACTGTGCCAATATAATTAACCTAGGCATCATTTCTGCATAAGTTAACTTCCCGCTGTTGTGATAATTTGAGTCTGGGCAGACGGACTTAAATGAGCGTGGCTATCCAAATAATCAGATTCATAACTCCACAAATGTCAGACAAGACCTTTCAAGAACATCGTATCTAATCATTAGAAAAAGGATATCTGATTAGCTGTCTTTGATTTCTAGTCAAAACAGACTCAAAACCACACTGCTGTGGAAATCAAGACTCAAATTTCCAATAACTTGGCTGCCTCTGGCAAAAGATGAACAGTGAAGCTCTCTCCAGTGATTTATGTAACACACAGTTCTTTATGCCCTGAGTGAGTGTCTGCCCCCGCGCTTGACATCAGAAATGTTTTATCTCAGCACATCTGTAAGATACACCCATGATCCACTACTCCACATGGTGACACCTCTCTGACCCCACCGGGACCTTGCAGCCCAAGTCCAGCCTATGGGTGGTCTCAGAGATTTCAAGGAACAGACAAAGAGAGATGAACCCAGGCGGCCTCTGCACCATGAAGTTGGGCAGTTATTGGTAAACTGCCCTTTTTTAGTGCCTGCCCACAGTGGTATTCCCATTGTGAGTGGCTCCATGTAGTTAGCATCTCTCCTTTTCTCCCTGCTCCTTCTCTGCACACATGGATGCATGAAGAAGGTCTCTGAGTCTTCTCAGGCACAAAGTGAAATGATTGCACTAAAGAATTCTGCTAAAAAGTGCCATTTCTATATGACACTTTTATATTGGGACACTCCCCTATAGTGACCAGTTTTTCATAAAGATATTTACGGAGTTTGAGGTGGATATCCTATAGATGTCAGGGACAGAAAGGCTGCAAATGAAAGCCCTGGAGTGTGTTGGGGAGATTATGTCATGGCAGTTATCATGTAACAATCACATTACCTTGAACGTGAACTTGGAACTATTTATTTGACATCATACCAACAAACTCATGGTTTCCTGAACATATAAACCCGTAAGTATACAGGTATCTCTTCTCTGGAGAGATAAATTGGAACAGAAATGTGCAGTGACTTTTGACAGATGGACAGAAAGACATGGAAAAACTCTGTTCTGGGCTGGTAGGAAGGTTTCTGGAGTGAAAACTGATCTTATTCTGTTTAAGTGTGCTTTGTCTTGTGCATGGAAGAGCTGTCATGGAGAAATAAGGGCGAGATAGCAGGACGATCTCAATTGTCTTGGACAGATGTTGTCAGAACTGTACTAGAAGGGAAGTCAATACATGGAAAGTTCAACTGCAGTCCAGTGTCAAAAGGAAAATAATAACAAGAGAGAATGTAACAAGAGGAGGGAGATGTGGGCTTCTGCTGACCTCGGAGGAGCACATGAAAGAAGACACAAAACAACGTTCCCATGAACAAAAGAACACAAAAGTTGGACAGAAGAAGAAATAAGAGTCCATGCAAAGGGATTTATGTGAATTACAGAGCAGGACTTGTGAGCAAACTGTCTCTGAAAAAAAGACCTAAAGCTCTAACGAGGGGCAGTTCCATGTGAGAGAAGCTACAGAGATGAACGCAGCTGGGCGGGAGTCCCCTTAAGCAAAAGCTGTCCCCTTTTGTGTCTGTAGACACTGCAAACCCCTACTTGAATGTCCACATCCACTATCGTCAAAGCAGAAAATTACCCTTCTCACATGATCTTCCCATCCAGCCGAGCCCGCAAGTGCAGTTGCCATCCACGTGGTCACAGATACCGCCGTTCTGACAGGTACATGTCAGGTGGCAGTTGGGGCCATATTGTCCCTGGGGACACACTACAGAGAATTAACAAAGTTTGGAAAAAAAATAAATTAGCATCCCCAAAAAAAGGATGAGGGTGACAGGGAATAAACACAAACACATGCTCCCCACAGAGTATCCTAAGTGCCTGGTGTCTCCCAAGGGCTGTGGGATGCTCTGCTCCATGCTTATTAGACATTTCATCCAAACACTCTCTGTCTCACCATATGTTCTCATATGGCTTCACTCCACATTTGTTGCTCTTGCTCTCCTCCCTTTGTCCTATCTCTCAAGTCCTCCTCTCCAGCAAACACTCTCCCTTCCCTTTTTCAGCTCAAGCAATTTGCTTCTAAATTTAGCCCCATCCATCCACAGTGCCCTCACACTGCTCGTGTTGTGTGGGTCAAACTACCCTTCTCCCCATCGTTGTGTTCTGTTTGGACTGCAGTCTCTGAAAGGAGTCATGGAGCAAAGCGGTGAGGTGTGGGCAGGAGACGGGGGCAGATAAAGGCTGGGTGATGGAGCGGAGAGGGATGGGGGCTGAGCACAGCACACTGCAGTGTTATCAAGCAAAGGCGTTAGGAAACTCAGTTACAAACAATGTTTGGCACTGAGTGTTATTTGCTGGATGTTTTAAGTATGTCACCAACTGACGAGATGACCTCGGGTCCCGCTTTGTTACCTTGCTGACAGCCGGGTCCCATTTGGCCGGGAGGACAGGTACACTTGCCAGTCTGTGGGTCACACTGACCTTTACCACATGCACAGAACAGGGCGCAGTCCTTCCCATATCGGTTTTCAGGGCAAGCTGAAGGAAAGAGTCTTTTGTTAAACACCATGGGTATCCAATGCCAGTTTTCATTTTTAGCATAGGCGAGATTTTATAGGTAAAGTTGGCTTCATTTTTATTTCAGCTAACGTACTTCAAAGCAACAACTATGAATCCAAAACCCATCCAAAGTCATGACTGCTGCTTCCCTCTGAAGCTTTACCTCAGGTTATAAATGTGATCCATGGTTTCACATGGAACACTTCGCAGGTTTCCTCCCAAAAAGGTGAGTGTACAACTGAAACATCAGCTGCTCGTCCTTCCAGCTAAGGACATCTTTCCTTCCTTAACGTTGATGCTGTCCTAGGCTGAAAAGCAAACCTATAGGCTACTCAATGTTAAAGCATTGCCTTTCTGTGAATAAGCTGCAGAGAACCTTGAGATCATAGCTTTGGAAATAGCACAGAAACTCAACCACACAATTTAGCTCAAAAATAGGGAAGTAAGAGTAGGGTTGCCATGGAGTCTTTACCAGTCTTGCCATGACAAAACTTGATCTTTTTCCCATTTATTGAAACTAATGGCACCACAGCGTGAAGCAAAATATTGAGATAATTTCTCAACCTAGAAATTTTGGACAGGAAGAAGGAACTTGAACAGTTCATGCTAAGCTGGCTCTAGAAATAAATTTGGGCAAGCAGGTTGTAATCCTGGGATGACTGTCCTTGCTTCTACGCACGCAGAAGAGAAGGAAAATATTTTGCAAGAGATTTTTTACAAAGCTGGAATCCTGATTTACAATTCAAGAAGGAGGTAGCTGGGATCTGTCTGTTTTTCTACTGACAAGCTCTTATGCAGATTATTCTCTCTGCTGTTTTTTTGAAAGCGGAGGAACATGAATGTTGGCTTACTTTTACTACAGTCGGCTCCAATGAAACCAGGCACACAATCACAAGTTCCCGACACGGGGTCGCAATGGCCTCCATTCATGCATTTACAGGGTTTTTGGCAGTTTGAACCATAAGTACCTTTCGGACACCCTGTTTTAAAAGAACAAAACAGTGATTAGGCTATGTTGCTACTGGGCACATTGCATTTCATGTCATAAGTACTTTGTTGCTTTCAACCAAAATTAGATTTTCATTTTCTAACTCTATTTGCTTCTAGAGGGCCAGGAGTAGGCAATGACAAGCAGACGGTTGCCTCAGGCAATGCAGTCCCTGGGGCAGCAAGGCAGCGTGGACTTGCAGTGTCAAAGCCCTGGAGAGCTGGACCAACTGCTTCTGGCTCTACCTGCTCCTCATATGTGATGGTAGCAAGAAAAGCAAGGCCAGTTCTTCAGAGCTTTCCCAGATGTATTTCTCCTCCAGATCAACCTGTCCCCCCTTTCACTCCTATGGCAGGAAAGGAGAGATGGGGCCCCAGTCCCCCTTCCTTTGGGCAGCAACAGCCTGGCTTGTGCGTGATGGTGAGATGCCGTGAGCCATCTCAGCCCCTTTTAGCAGTTGTTTTAATCAATCAGTTACAGATCGTGGGGCAAGCCTCATCTTTTTTAAAAGTTTAAGTTGGAGAAAGTTTCTTTCCTCCATAATCTACTCTCACTCCAAACGGGAGCTTGCATTGCTCTGGCACATCTAGTGGGCTCTGTATGCAAATGACAGTAACATGAAAATTCAGAAGACACCTTCTGCCAAGATGGATACAGGAGAGGGATGCTTTAAATGCAAAGCCAGAAAATTACAGAATCACAGAATGTTAGAGATTGGAAGGGACCTCGAAAGATCATCTAGTCCAATCCCCCTGCCGGAGCAGGAACACCTAGATCAGATCACACAGGAACGCATCCAGGCGGGCTTTGAATGTCTCCAGAGAAGGAGACTCCACAACCTCTCTGGGCAGCCTGTTCCAGTGCTCTGTCACCCTCACCGTGAAGAAGTTTTTTCGTGTATTCAAGTGGAACCTCCTATGTTCCAGCTTGAACCCATTGCCCCTTGTCCTATCACTAGATGTCACAGAGAAGAGCCTGGCTCCATCCTCCTGACACTCACCCTTTACGTATTTATAAACATTGATTAGGTCACCCCTCAGTCTCCTCTTTTCCAGGCTAAAGAGACCCAGCTCCCTCAGCCTTTCCTCATAAGGGAGATGCTCCATTCCCTTCATCATAATTTTCTCTGAGAAAAAAACCAACAACCAAACCCAAACAAAGCAGCTGTATTTTGTACCAACCAGAAGAAACATTAGATCTGGATGGATTGCTGAGCCAGTGTTACATGGCCACAAGCTGTCCACTAAGAGGTTTTCCAGGTGGTAGGGAGTATTTCTGGTTTCTTTTTGGACACCTAATGTTGAAGGAATGCTGAATACAAGATCAGGAAAACAAAAATGCATTTGTCACACTTAGCTCATGTCTGCAAGATACTCTTTAGAGTGATGGAGGCTGCAACTGAGGAGAAGAGCCGGGCAGAGCTGCCAAGCACGTGCCTCTTTCTGCCAGGGCTGCCACCAGCCTGCCACCACCAAACTCTGGAGATGCAGGTTATTCTAGTTTTCCAGTGTACTGGAATGGGAAGAAGCTGGTGCTTTTAGAGCAACATGATCATCACTCAGCAGTCACACTAGTGCTACTGCTTCTCCGTGTCATTTCGTTGCTCCTTCCTTCTCTTCCCACAGCAAAAGGAAAGCCTATTGCTACTTTGGAAATCTGGTTGAATACATATTTGCACATCTCCAAGCAACAGATCTCTTGCAATCTGTGCATAAATTTATGTATTTTCTGTCTTTTCTGAAGGCATGAAAGCATGGTCTGAGTGACTGGAGAAATCTCTGGATTTTTTGAACTATTCATTAGAGAGGGAGAACTTATGGTGAAGCTTTAAAGGGATGCCTTTTAAAATAAAATTGAAAATTGGCTTCTGCTCAAAACAGGATAGCAGATCGTCAGGGCTAAACAGATACACACTTTTACAACACGCAGATACTCTCCCCAGCCCTTCCCAACCACAGTTTCTTCTCAATGAATACTTTGGCATCAGTGCTTCCATCTGTCAGCACAGAAAAACTGTTTCATGTGCAAACCCTGGCACCAAGGAGCAAGCCCTGCAACATCTATTTCATTTCCACCAAGACATGAAGGTAAGGACACACCCAGATCCAATGATTTAATTGGATTCTAACAGAGTTTCTCTTTTCCTCCTCCCTTCCTTTTGGTCATCATTTGGCTTTTCTCTTTTTCAGTTCTGTTTCCCACACTCCCAAACATGCTGCTTCTCCCTGGCAAAGCTTTCAGAGTTGTTCCTCCGCACAAGACAAGCAAGAGCTGTTCCATTACTGAAAGGGATGCAGCAATTTCCCCCTTAACAGTTTATTTACCCTTGCAGTATTTTATTTATTTTGGTTCAACAGGAAGCAGCACAAGCAGGGCAAACACATCAGCTGCAACATTCCCATGATTATTAACAAGGCCATCTCATCTGTTACTACTTTGCAGGAGAACTTCCATGCAGACAGCTAGAGCAATTTATCCTGCCATTTAAGCAGGCTCTGCCTTTATAAAGAGGGTTACCCTCTAACCACCAGTTATCTCATAAAGACATTTTCTAATTTAACAGTTTCCTGTGCATCTGACTTATGTTTTCCTGAGAATAGCAGGAGCAGAAGCCAGATTCCCAACTCGTTTCCTGATTTTTCCTTCTGGTTTGGGTGGATTTGCCATAACCAAGAGCTTGTAAGTCTTCATACCAACTACATACACTAGGGTTTTTCCTGACAATATTATTAACTGCATTGTAAAAAAAGGACTCTTGAAGCATTCTGTTATCTACAGCTTGAAGGGGAAGCTGGTGAGGTCTTTCTGGCTCAGGGTCCACTCATCCCAGTAAATGTAAGAGACGTAGTATGGGGTTTTTTTTAATCCATTACAACACTTCTCACTACTTTTTATTCATAACTTCACTCAAATAGATCTGCATGTCCACCGAGTTATGGACAGCTGATGGGAACCTTATTGCTAGTTTGTCTGCTTCCTCTGGACCCTGCCAAGAGACTGTTTCAGCTCTTTGCTCCAAAATTTGAGAACATGAAAGCCTCATTGCTCTTGGCTCCTGGAAATTTGACTTCCCAGCCAAGTACACCTTTTATAGATACTTTCTTCAACCTTTTTTCACAGTACTATAAATATAGCAATAGTTGCCAGAAACCATTTCCAGCAGCATCCAACCACATGTTGACTGGACTGAAGCCCGTTTCACATCTTTGGAAGCTGCTCCCTAGGCTGTTTTTAATATTACATTGAAAGCTTCTTCATCCTGGAGCAGCCCCAGCTCTCTGTAGTGAGGATGGCAGGAACATGGAGTATTCCCACCAAAGTCACGCTAGCTGTCCCTGGTTATCAGACAGTCACTTCAGAATTAGGTCCACGATCTCTCACACCACTGACATAAACCTAAAAATAACTCACACTCAAACTCTTTTCCTTCCATTTTTGTGTCTGTCTATGCAGTGGCCAGACTGGCACTGGGGAGAATAGAAGGAACCCTACATAGATTCAAGACAAATTTTATCTCTCTGTGAACCTCCACCATTCCACTATCTCTCCAAGAAATGTTCAACAAACTGTACTTATTAAGTGAGAATTTGCTGTGCAAGATACTGTGTATTTTTGGAATCTAAGAGAACGCAATGCCATGAAGGCTCACGTCTCATACGCTATAGGTTTAATCCTGCCTATGCAGAAGTCTGTGGCGAAATCCACTCTGAATGCAATGAAACACAGATTTCATTTTGTAAGTAATTTCTTTTATATCAGAACTTCAGTGTAATTATTAATCTTTTCAATTGTTAAATTCTGAAATAAAATCTTAAGGATCTAAGCAAGCTCGAGGACATTTACTATAATCTATAGAGATTTAGTACTACGTGTACAGGTAACGACTACTGAAAGATTGCTATGTAAAAGTAATAGGCTAACCATGATTAAGTCTTTTAAAATGATACTGTTAAATAGTTGATCTCTACTACTGCTCTGCTGTAATATTTATTATAATCTAATGTATAATGGATCCAGATGGCTCTAGCCTAGATGTTGACGGCCGGATTCCAATCTCTCACTTACAGTGAGAACTGATGTACAAAGGAGGACAGAATCAATCCTTACATTTACATTTATATTTCAAAGAATAACTTGTGATGACATGATGGTAATACAAGTGCCCATCGCTAAAAAAATGAGCCTCTTTCCTGCTTCTACTCAAGGAATGAAGCATGTGTTTAACCCTTACTAGAGCCATATATATTGCAGCTGGCCATATCCAAATTGTCACCCAAAAAAGCAAGCAAACCAAACAGAGCTGTGCTGGATTCCTAAGAAAGGAAAGTCAGCGTTTGCCAAGGAAAGACTGAGTTTGTACAACTACTTTTTTTTTTTTTTTTTTTTTTAAATCAGGCTATTACAAGCTATGGATTAAAAACAAAATTAAAGTTGTAAATAAAAAGGTAATTAACTGTCTCCTTTATTGGATGCTTTGGTATATGTTTCTTATCAGTTGCCACATTCCACCAGAAACAACTTCACAGACATCCTAAAATACCAGCATGAGGCACGTAGACCTGGGAATATTTTTTATGATGGAGTGTTCAGCCAATTGGCATTTTGTCCTTTATGCTAGTCACCATTTTTCAATCCAGAGTAACAATTTGTTTAATTTGATTGTTCCTCAGATGGCCCTACAACTTAAGTGACTTTATGAATCACGTAGATTTATTGCCAATTGCAGCTTGTTGTTTTCTAATAACCATTTGTCCCTACTTGAGCACATAGAGATTCCGGGAAGTATTTTGGCCTAGGTATTTGGAAGTGAAAGAGCTACACAATATCCAGGTGTATCTGAAGATGAGAGGTATAAATGTAGAGAATGATATTGATATTCTTCAGCGTGGCATTAAATTGTAAAGAATTTACCTAGTAAATGAATTTGGCTTTTTAAAAAAAAATTATCTTGATTTTAAAAAAAAATAATCCCTTGCAATAATAGAGGTATTTTTACTACTGTAAATTAACCCAACCTGTGCTCACTTTATCTCAATCAACTCTGAAGGTACTGACACAGATGAACTCAAAGCACCAGCACATGCTTTGACATAACTCAGTCCTCACTCAGAAAACAGGCGGCCCCAAAACAATACTCACGGAGGTTGCAGTGGGCCCCGTGGTACCCCGGGCGGCACGCGCAGTCGCCAGTCACCGGGTGACATTCCTCATTCTCGGCGGAGCACTGACATACTCGGTTACAGTTCTTACCGTACGTGCCTGGTGGACAGGCTTAGGGAAGAGGAAATGTAAACCAATAAATTAAATTTGTCTTGGTAAATATAGCACTCAAACAAAGAGCAAGCTCAAATTTATTAAATAAAATCCCTGCCTACAGAACG